TTCCTAGCTATTTATGGAATAAGCTCATCATATTTGAGAAAAATCGGATCCGATCATGCTATTGATATTCATGGAGAGGAGAATGATTCCAAACGTAAACGTATCCGTCAATTAGCATTAAGACACAAGGTAATTATTATTGCATCAGATCATTATGGTGTGATGAATAACAGACGAAATATTCCAACGACTAGAGAAAAAAATGCTGAGATATCAGATATTATAGACCTATACAATTACTAATCACGCTTCTTCACTTTCACTACGCCCATAGTAAAATCTTTATCATCATTATATCATTCAGAGATAGACCCATATTCGGATGAAGACGAGGATGAGGAATCAGATGCAGTATCATTTAAAAATTTCTTTTTTCTTTTAGCCTTGCATGGTGTATGATTTCTTCGAGAAATATCCGAGTTCGTTATCGAGTTTATAATATCTTGCTGAATTTCGGGTTTCACTATCTCCAGTAATCTGTGAAGAGAGATCCAGATTTTTTTACCCGATACTTGCTTAACAATATCAGATACCACTTTATCGGTAATCTCGGGTAAACTTTTATTTATTTCCAAACCCAATTTTTTCGCAATCTCATAAGGTATAATTGGACATTCTGAAACCGAATCACAAACTACTTCTGTATCCCTATCATTGATCAATATTGATAATTTTTTCACTGATTCTATTAGCGATGCGATTTCATTATCATTCTCTTGTAAATTCTGATGAGCCGACCCAATATTGCTATTAGCTTCAGTCATTGTAAATGCGAAATTATTATTTATTAATACGAATTTAAAAATGCAGAATTAAATATTGTTATAATAAAACATCACGATGAGAATTTTATCTTGCGAAATTAACAAAGTACCAGTTAAAACTATACTAGATTCCGGTGCTAATTGTAATATTATAGGTGAGAGTATAGCAAAAATAGTAGGTTTGAAAATCGATAATACATCCGATACAGAAATATACAGTCCCATTAGCGAGCACAATATATTGGGAATAATTCGTGCAATGGAAATTTCGGTCCTGTCTCAAGATCGGAAATGGGAACAAGTAGAAGCTAGTGATGTTTTCGTTACCAATAAACCCGAGCTTGAATCTGTACTGATATTGGGTCAGCCATGGTTCCAGGAAAATGCAATGAACCTGGACTTCCCAAATAAAACTCTTACGTTGCTCAATGGAACTAGTTGCGAGGTTAAGTGTACTTGAGAATATCTGGAAAATCTATAGCATATATGCATAATACAATAAATATTAACTATTTATCGCATATAATACATTATATTTTTTAGCTAGATTCGGTAATGCATTTGCTGAACCCCCGCCTTCTCGTGACTCTATCACTCGAAGCCAGATAATTACAGTTAACAATATATCTTTGACCGGATGTCCATATATCTTTTTTCGAACTTGTGAGAAAAAAGGCAGTATTATATCATTAATTGCTTCGGATGATAAGCGTGTAGCATCTGATCTTAATCTTCTAACCATTTATATACAAAGAAAAAAAATATCCGATATATACTAATTAGCAATGCCTAATTTACTTGATCTTCTTCCACCAGAATTAATACCATTAATAACGAAGTATCTCCCGATACAAGATCTTAAAAATTGCTGTAGTCTAGATAATGTATGGAAAACCGAAGCGATTAGAGAAATTTGCAAAAGATTAATAGTGGACTGTACATTCATTGATAATGAAACAACTGTTAAAGCACTTATTGACCCTAAATCCCAGTATAACAGTATTAGTAAAACACTTGCCAAAAAAATAGACTTATATATTACAAGAATGTATGGATCAGAATATCCCGCAGTAGAAGACCTTGGTATTGGCGCAACAAATGCTGGTAAAAAAGTAATGGTAAGAGGTTGGCTTCGTGATGAAAAAGTTTCTGTTTCTTTACCAGACATTTTTGAATTAGAAAAGTTAGCTCCACATGGTCAGTTCTCACAGAAATATTTACCTCGCAATTTATGTGAAACATATGAACATTTCTTAGTTGTTGACAAGCCAGAATATGACTTAGTTTTGGGAAGTACGTGGCTAACGAGATTGGGTGGTAGGATTGATGGACGCGATGGGAGATATTGGGAATCTAATGAAGATAAAAGACTTTATTATGCAAGAAGTAACATTGATATAGTGTCTCCTTCATTATATACATTCTACGAATTATTATTTCCTAAATTTACCACAATTAATTCAGATGGGGAAGTTATATTAACCAAGTTTTCCGAACATAGGCGTGACTTTGATGGTCTAAGTGAATATTACGATTCAGAATACTCTGAAACGGAGTCTGAATCTAGAGATTCTGAGACTGAGTCTGAATTTAACGATTCTGAAGTGGATGTATCTCTCCCTGTTATAATTGGGACGATACAAGATAATAATATCGATTTTATTTCCGCATTCAGTAATTATCTCAGAGAGATTGACGGGGTTAATCCTAATCATTCATCATGGGTTACAAATAATTATGTTGAGTAGCAGAGAATGGGTAGACCCGAAGGGTCATTGATTCGCAATAATTATTTACCGAGTTATTTTTCCATATGCAATTTTCTGATCTATACAAACTGTCAGTATATTAGGGAAAGAAATCATTTTTACGTAATTTTTGATGGAACTCGCTTCGTGGTGTTTGGAATTTCATGTGTGAGGATAAGGGTTCTTTACCTCTGTATTTTATCTCGCGTGGGACAAACTCAGTAATAGCATAATTAGTGTTATATTCCGGATTTGTAGGCTGATAATTAATTTTCTCTTTAAGACCATACATACGTACCATCAAACCGAGTCTTTCAGCTGTACCTCTCATATCCCGCTCCAATTCTATAATTGATTTTTGATAATGTTCGTCTTTAATCTTGTCTTCGCAGTATTGTACAATATCTTCGAGATTTGCATAAGTTGACCATAAATCCTGCACTAAATAAACAAGTGATGTCCGGAGATCATCAAGTTCTTTTTCTGGGTCCATTTCAAGTGTTGAATCTCGCTTTATCATGATCTTTGGATTAAGTTGCTCAATGCATCTTTAGTAATATTTGTACCTACTACAGAAAGAAATTCCAAGTTTGAACAGTGTCGTACGACTTCATCAATAACTTTATCAGTAACAAGATGGCAACACCTGATATTAAGATACTTTAATTTTTTACATGAACGTACAATATGACAGATAGACGCATCAGAAACATCGCAAGCACCAATATCAAGATGTTCGAGCTTCGGGCAAGAATTAGCAATATTACAGATAGATGAATCGGTAATAAATCTACACTGATCTAGTTCTAGGAATTTTAAATTATGAATATGTTGCAACAATTTATTAACCGAATTATCAGTAATATTATGACAACCCGTTAAAGAAAGGTGGTAAAGATTAGGACATGAGTGGGCGATTGCAACTATTGTTCGATCAGAAATTGGTTTATACCGTTTTAATCCACCAATACACAGAAGTTCTAATTTACAACTCGCTTTTACTGTTTTATATACGAAGTCATCAGTGATATTCCCGCAAAAACCAATATCAAGGTAGCGTAATTTTTTGCATGATTGAGCAATTTTATATATGGAGTAACCAGTTATATCTTGGTTACCGCAGACATTGAGAGATTCTAAGTTGGGGTATGATCGGGCTATTTCTATAAGTGACACATCAGTAAAACTTCTACTTTGTTCGAAATTTAGACCGGTTATATTTGGGTATGAGCGTAGTATACTTAGAACTTTGTTATCCGAGAGTTCAGAATAATCTGTAATTTTGAGGCTTTTTAGGCTTGAACTATAAGATGTTTTCTGTTTCTTACATGCCGACTCTAAAAATTTTTCCAAAAGGGTGACCTTGTCTCCTACGAACTCGAGGTGTGTAACTTTATCGCTAGTATCAATTTCGTTTTCAGATGGCATTTTTGCAAGTTTATATTTATAATAAGATATGTTTAAAGAAGAAAAATATTTATTGTTAGCCTTTTTTCGGCTAAAGATATAGCAAATGGATAAAAATTTAATCTGAAAATAATTATAACTGCGAAATTATATCACGTTACAAGGGAGTGATGTCATGTGCAATCATATACCCATTATTCGTCCATCCAATCAGAATAATTAAAAAAACGGAAATTATTAACCAACCGGAATTGGAATAGAAGTTCGTGGAACATACGTAACTGTACTACATAGATAATCGTTATTTTTTTTCGCTTTATTTTACATAGGAAAATGTCTTTCTTTCACACATGCTTTTACGACAAGAACATGCGAAAACGAAACTTCATAACGTTATAGGAGGAAAGGCTCGACAATATCTATTAATTTTCATAACGCAAACCTCAAGTTATGGGGGTTCGAAATTTCCGCGATTCCAGATCGTCGTTGCGTTAACCAATTTTCGTCTTGCAGGAGCGATCTCAACCCTAAAGGGAATGAAATGCCCCCAAAATTGCGTAATATATCATGTACCTCTTCTTTGTTGAGTTCTTGGCATATGACGACGCTTTCTATGGGGTTGAATCGTAACAGGTTTGAGAATCTTACTATGTTAGGAATCTGATATCCGGATGATAGAGAACAAAACCACTAACGTGTCAAATCCCTCTAACAAGCTTCGGATTGAGTGAATCGATATAAATAAGCAGGAATCGTTCAAAGTCAGTCCCTTACCTTCCCACGATTTTTAAAAGGTACATCTGTTTAAATATCTATGAAGGCAACATCATATTCACTATGAATCTTTCTATTTAGGAACGTAAAATGAGTGAAACTACCGGTGCCAACATTAATCTCAACTGCCTCTTTATGCCTATTAATGCATTCCATG